GTACCATCTCCATTGCCGCATGGCGACAAAAGCTCACGTGGAAAAAATGTATTGAGGAAGACATCTGCGAAAGAACTATCACGTGGGATGAAATGGAAAATATGGCGCTGGATGGAAGAATGTGTCGTCAATGGACGGCCCAGTGTGTCAGGTGATAAATGATGGACTAAGTTCTAAGTAAGTAAGTATTTATGGCAAAATTACTGGGGCTACTTGCCAACGTTCCTAATTTTGAACTACTGATTAGAGGGAAGACAGCCAATCAACAGCACTTCACCGTCCACCATCAACGCTAAAGGATTGACTATTATTCTTTCAACGTATCCGCTACCCACAGCTTAAAATGGGTAAAAGTCAAGTCCAGTTCGCCAGGTCAAAAGTCCAGAGTTCTACCACAGCGCAAGTCTGCGCTCTGGGGTACAGTGAAAAGTAGTTATAGACTATTGAAAACTGAAAATTAAAGCTTAAACAATGCGTAAAAGAAAGAAAGAGAAGAAAATCATATGGGGAAATAAAATAACATAAATAAAGTATAAAGTTGAGAGAAAGAAAGGCATTGGTTAAAACAAGTCATGAAAAAATTTACAAGTGTCCGTAATGTCAAAACAATAGAGAGACATTGCATTACATTTATTTCAATATGCCAATGCTTATATTTTCTGAGCCGCGGTCGGAGTTTCATTATTTTTATTAGACTTACCCCACCTCTCACAAAATGGCGGGTTGGAGTTTTGTAAAAAAAAATAAATTAGATTTTTCCAAAAAATAAATAATTTCTGCTAAGAACGTCTAAGCTTTTATGGGCTTCCTGTTCGGAGAAATACTATTTGTGGGTATGTGATAACAAACCTTTTAATGATATTTTCAACACAACAAATCTTACCTATCAAATTACCAAAATATCCTTACGGTTGGTTGTTCGTCTAATGTGTGTGATGTAAAAAACTAGTTAACTTGATCTCATATTAAGACTTCTTTTTTTATAGCTTTAACGTAATACTTACAATTTAGAACTGGCAACATCAATACAAGCAAAATAATGGAAGAACGAACAGCTTTCATACATTTTGATCTTAGAAATTCAGGAAATACTGAGAATAGGTCTAATTATTCAAAATCTTTAAGATTATATTTTCATCCGAATAGTAAAAAGAAAGTTTCAGGTGGAGGCTTATTGATGTTCAGTGACGGATTAAGGGTGGCTTGGGCTCCAGGCGGTAGGAAAGAACCCTCCCCCTCCTTCCCATCATAGATATATTGATCTCTAGCGAACTGGGTCAACTTCACTGTCAAAATCATAATGTTAAGCATATACATACATAGCCTTGTAACACTGGATACAATATAGATAAACACAAAACGTGTGCAAACACATTTTATTCACTCATGAATGATCATGAAGACAACTTGATTAGAGCCTGCATGTACCTGTATAAAGCTAAAATTGTCTTTTTCTGGCTATATTGTAACTGAACTCGTCAATGAGTTTCGAAAAGTTTAGTTTTCAAAGTATGTCACATTCTATGTTCATTATAAACAGACTGTTCATTTAGCTTTATACTATTATTTTCCTGTGTTCACTTTTCATTGTTTTTAATTTCGAAAACGATCGTCGCAGTTTGATACCATCATAGACAAGTATATTCCAAGCACTATTTCAACATTAGGAAATATTTGGATAAGAGCGTGTCTATGAAAGGGCCGAAATAGCTTCATATCTTGCCGACCACCGAGTTTCAAAAAGTTATTTGGCAACACACAGTCCTAAAGGTTTCAACTTGTCGCAAAGCCATTGCCAGCGATGTGTTAATTCCAATAGAAATGTGTATAACGTTTGTAATGTATAGACGAATCTTACAACTGTAGGGTAACACTCAGCACTGATTTTTTCAACCAAGTTTAATGAGTGAGCTGCACACGGTATATACGGTACAAAATGGTTTCTGTCATGGATGATAGTTTGAACACCAATATATTTTATACTCATGTTGGAAGCATTATCGTAAGACTGGCCGCGACAAATGTTTTTATATCAGTACCATTCTCCTCTAGCCCCCCATGGCACAGCGATCTGTCTGTGGACTTATACCAGATTTCGATACCCGTGGTGGTCAGAGCACAGATAACCCTTTGTGTAGCTTTGTAATAACAAATAACAACAACCATTCTCCTTAAATTTGGCCAGTATCATTTCAGCTATGTTTTGACCAGTATCATTTCAGCTATGTTTTGACCAATATCATTTCAGCTATGTTTTGACCAGTATCATTTCAGCTGTGTTTTGGACAGTATCATTTCAGCTATGTTTTGGCCAGTATCATTTCAGCTATGTTTTGGCCAGTACCATTTCAACTATGTTTTGACCAGTATCATTTCAGCTATGTTTTTACCAGTATCATTTCAACTATGTTTTGACCACTATGGTCTAATATCGGTAAGAACTCCAGGGATCTTTTTCCAGACCAGTGTGTAAAACATAACAAACTACAAAGGTGAGTTGATCAGAATGCATGATATCTGGTGTTGAATTGACAGAGAGGGAATAAAATTTAGCAGATTTTAATTCCTTGACAATTTCCTGAAGTACATTGTCCCCCATAAGACGCATTAGTTCTTAATAAATAGTTGAGGATAGATATGACGTGTGTTTCTTGCCTTTGTTGACGAAGAGCTTGATGTGTTCAGCAATCAACGGGTCATTCTCTGCTAGAAGTTCCAGTATTCCAAGATAGTTACCGTTGTGTGTAGCCACAATGATTTCGTCTTTACCTTGCAACGCAAGTCCTTGCTCATAGAGAAATTTAATCACCCTGTGTAGCTCCTTACGTCAGTAATCACGGTCATTTTAGAACTGGGATACAACTTTATTGCATACAGCCAATACCTGATTGTCTTGTACACATTTGCTATCATGGCCTTTCGGTGAATTTTGCTATTCTCAGAGATGAAATCATTACAACCCCGTGTTTACAGCCATTTTCTTTTGCACAAAGGTTACATGCAAAGCAGTATAACTTCCCATCAGATGGTGAATAGCAAAGCCATTTGCGTTCAATATGCTCTCCTGTCAGTGTGTGCACACGTGAGAATAAATCTTTCAAATAGTATCGGCAATAACATTCTCCACCTTGAACTACACCCCGAGTTTTGAAAATTTCCATCACAGTGTCGACAATTCTTACAACCATTCCCAATCCAAATGTTTTTCAATTATTTAGGTATGTTGTTCTTCCATAGGCCAATGTCATTCACAAATTGTGGCTGTCTGTCTTTCGATTCGAGATCTTTATCACAGTCCAGTTCAATGGCCCGGCATGGCCAGGTGGTTTTGGCGCTCGACTCGCAATCTGAGGGTCGTGGGTTCGAATCCCCGTCACACCAAACATGCTCGCCCTTTCAGCCGTGGGGGCGTTATGATGTATGGTCAATTCCACTATTCGTTGGTAAAAGAGTAGCCCAAGAGTTGGCGGTGGGTGGTGATGACTAGCTGCTAAATTAGGGACGGCTTGCGCAGATAGCCCTCGTGTAGCTTTGCGCGAAATTCAAAACAAACAAACAATGTCACGCATGTCACGACGTTATAATGACTTAACATTCAAAAATTAATTAAACTACATTCTTATAATGGTATACCAATAAATATAGAATAAAACATAGCTAATTGTCCATATTTTAATAGTGAATAATTTTTATGTTCTTAATTTTATAACGCAATCTTCAAAACAATCCTGAATTTTTGTGACATTTTCTCTCTAGGTATTCCCTTCTTTCTAATTTACTTATCACTCCTCTATGAAGTACAAAATTTAACTTAAATTGCTTATTTTAATATTGCCATCGCCCAAGCAAATGTTTATAGCCTTCAATATTATTTGATTCCAGAGCTATCAAATAGAAAATCGGACTCTTTTTGCCACACCCACCTGTAACTTCATCTCTTTCAGAATTTGCTAATAGTTCTCTTTGGCTTTTAATACTATATTATTTATAGCCAATAGAAAGCCAAGGCTTCCTTTTATCAAATGGCATATTATTTTACACTGTTTTCTCTATTTAGTATAAACAAATGTAGTTTCATTTTACAATATGAAGCCATTCTAGAAAGAAAAAAGGGGTAATTTAGATTTATTCCGACCATTTTTTTGGTGGTTACGAGGTCAGCCATATTGACCAGACCTGTATGGAGTTAGGGTAGAGGAAATGACACACCACATATGAAGTTTTACCGATAACAGATATATTAAATTTACTCAGGAGGTTTTAAAGATTACACAATTGAAATCTGAGATTTTTGAGACGAAGAAAAGTATTTTAAATCTTAATATAAATATTACTCTACACTCGGACTAGTAAAAAAAAACTATATATATATATTGTTTGTTTGTTTGGAATTAAGCACAAAGCTACACATTGGGCTATCTGTGCTCTGCTCACCACGGATATCGAAACCCGGTTTCTAGCGTTCTAAGTCCGCAGACATGCCGCTGTGCCACTGGGGGGTGGGATATATATTCATAGAAAAATCTTTAGTAAAAATGCTTAATTAAAAGACTGATTAAACATCTGCCAAGTTTTGTGAAAATACACATACTATATTAAAAGTTATAGTATTAAAACTATGTACTAGTACAAAATGTTCACGTGGTCGGTCCCTTGGGCCGAGCCCATATTGAGAGAGTTAATATAATAATATATTTATAAATTTCATCTGATTTATATATATATTTTTTTCGTTTCTATACTGCCCCCCCCCCTTCCAGACCATGAGCCCTTGGCGGTCGCCCAAACCGCCCAAGCGTTAATCCGTCACTGACCGAGTGATAGATACTTCAGTTCCTAGTAGAGATGGTAAAATATACAGAAGAGTCCGTGCCGAAATGAACACTTTACCCATTGGATGATACATTTGTTATTGATAAATAATAAACAGAATGAAATCCGTTTTTTTTCTTCTGCTATATCCAATTTCCGAGATATCAGTGAACTAGAACACAGCTTACCGAGTGGCTGGTTTTTCAGTAGGACTAGAGGCGACGTAGCAACGGACGTAGTATCTGACACCACAAGTATCTTTCGTTTCAAGTCCATGAGGTATCATGGTCACAGATACAGGCGACGCACATGGTAACTGAAAGGTAAAGAAGCAAGTGGAAAAATACACAAATGATACTAGACTAGAAGAACAGCTTTAACTAACTATTTTTGCTAAAATGGATCTTATTTGAACTCTTACTGAATTTAGAATAATTGTTATTTGAACTCCTATTGTAATTGTTAATTAAAATTGTACCAAACTTGATGTAATTGTTAGTTGAACTCTTAATGAAGTTAATCTAATTGTTAATTAAACATTTTATCGAAATCAATTGCTAAACTTGCCATTTACCACTGGTTTATGTGGAACTTTGTAACGTTGAAACAGTTTTCACAATTTTAAACATATTCTACACTTGCTGCATTTCAAGAAAGTAATAAGTTGATTACATGGATTAAACACACATTAATTTTGATATATTTTATTGTTATTACATTTATACCTAAATATCTTTATATCTTTATATTGTATGCCTTCTTTGTTTAATGGTATTTGCACAGTTGTGAACCTTCATATATAGATATACATGATAAGTACCTGCTAATCCTCTGAAGATACTTGATCCTTATCATATTACCTTCTTAGATCTCGTACTCATTAATGCCTTTAGCATACTGAACTTTCTCGTGGTTCGCAAGCATGCTCAAACAAGGTATATCACATTTGATGTATCTGCAGAATTTCACACGAATTATGGGTTCATTAAATTTTGTAAGAACAACGTACCAGATCCTTTGATGGCTACGATTACGCAGTATTGGCAGACACCGAAATTTTCAATTTACCAGCTTCTGTATAGGACGGTAAGATTAATTTTAGACCAAACAAATCTTGACAAATCTTTCTCAAGAAAACAGTAGCTGATTTCGAGGTGTGGCTAGAAACTTGTGACTTTTTGGAATTGTTAGTTTTTGTCAGCCTCAAATCCTTGCGTATTATCGTGTTAAGTTCACGAGGAAACATGTTTAGATGACTGCAATGGCTTTTGGGTCAGAGGGTTCACTCTCCATACGTTTCTCCTAAATGCTCTGTTGTCTAAATTTTTCTGCTACCATAATATACCTCGGAGGCTTTGTTCTTCCAAATTATTATATTTTTGGTTCTACATAGTTTCACAATCTCAGTATGCGAATATTCTTTCTCATTTTCACCCCCCCCCCAAGAAAAACAATTACCTATGGCAGCATTTCACTATGAAAAGTTTGCCGTGAATCAAATATATGGGAATTCAACACGTCGCTCATGGCGTACGGGTCGCACTCGTATCGAGATAACATTATATATATATATATTTGTAAATAACTTTTTTTATAACTTGTGATTAAACCTCTCTGCAGGCTCTATTATTATCTTCCCCCACATTTAATAAGAAGAAAATTTTGAACGTTTTACAAATTTATACCTAAATTAACTAAAGAAACACTGCAAACTGGTTATTTGTTACGTTGTGTGACGACTGTATAAAATGATTCCTTTTCAATATAAATTTGCTATTGAGAAAAAAACAACAACGATAATTAGAATACGTCGTTACGTTCTTTAAGGACATTTACTACAATTCTTTAAATTTGACTAGGGATTGTAACATTTCTCTTATTTTTTATATTTATCTTAAAATATGGTTTCAATTAAAAGTACACAGTTTTGTTTAAACCTCAACTGAACACACGACAGAACTGAGCTTGTTAAGTAAGTTATGAGAATAATGATTTAAATAGGATACTATGATGACGTACCTACTTTATATTTATACAGACAAAGATAATAATATTATTATGAGCAATTTCTTAATATTTAACGTTTTTATTCCACAATATTGACATTTGAATTAAAAAATATTATTTCAAAAATCACACAAATATACCCCATATATTGAACAATGTTAGTGACAATACTATATTTATATTGTTTATTATACAATATAAATTATACTGATTGCTAAATTAAAGTTGTTGCTATAAAGATGATCTATTATGTTTGTGTGTCTCTGTGTGCTAGCATCCATCTCTCAGAGTTGGTTGGCTCGATTACAGTAATTATTTATATGTTAACTGGAAACTGACCAGCGGTGTACTTGGCTAACTTGTTTTAGGATTTCTGCCCAAGAAGGGGGATAAAAACACCATAAAATAGGGGACGTTTCCACATTTTTTTAAATAGATTTTTGGCTTTCAATTTAAAGACTCAAGTACTTACTCAGTTTAAACGAGTCGGTTATTACCTTCCATAAAACAGGGTATACAGTTAGCATCTAATGAGGTCATTAGGAACTTAATAATAAGAGAAAGAAGGGGAACTTTATATAACATTGTCCTTTATACAGTTTTTACTTCTTTAACGGGTACCCTCAACTAGTTATTATGAAAATAAAGTACTAATTTTACTTTTAAGTTTTTTGTAAAGAAAAGTTACAAATAACAAACAAAAGAAGCACAGTTTAAGGGGAGAAAGACGTCACAGTTGAATGGAACTTACTTCAAACTGAAAAGGTAAAGCATCTGCTCCCAGTTTCTTCAGAAGCTTCTCGTGTAGCCAACCATTGGCTGTTCCTAGCTGTTCAGATTTGTCGCCAGTGGACGAGGAAGGACCAGCAACACGAGGATATATTTGTTTGTGTGTCAGATACAACTCCCGACAAAAGGTCATTCCAAGAATTTCGTCTTCTTCTCGACCATAACGAAATATTGCAACGACTCCTACGTAGACATTTTTATCTTTTACAGATGATTGGTCAAAAAGGATAATTCCCTCTGTTGAATTGATGAAGAAGTAAAAGTCTCATGTAAATAATATCAGTGAACTCAGAGCTGATACACATTAGTCATCATTATAGATGTATATTATACCTTTTATTTAGAATATGCGACTCTATATGTAACAATGTATTTTAATAAACAAATAACTATTTACAAGGATTAATCCAACTGACGAAACAATGCATTATAATCTCTATAAACAAGAACGAAGGAATATTATCTTTAATTAGCTATGCTCATTATTGTGTTGCTTTTAGTTTTGAACTAAGTATATAGTTTGGTCTGGTCAGAAGTTAATACTATTTATACTTAACAATAATTAAACATTGCACAACAGTTAACAACAATTAAACATTGCACAACAGTTAAAAATAATTAAACATTGCACAACAGTTAACAATAATTAAACATTGCACAACAGTTAACAATAATTAAACATTGCACAACAGTTAACAATAATTAAACATTGCACATTTCTATATTTTAGAATATTAATATCAAAACCATTTCCACATAAACTTCAAAAACATTTCCAATCTAAATTAAAGTTTTTAGTTAAGACATCGACTTTTATACCTCAGATTTTATAGTTCACTCTACACTTTTATTTTAAATGAAATTAAATACAGGAAATAGAATATAAAGTAATTGGTTTGTTTCACATTACATCTAACAGCTTCTCATTTTTTTCATCGTTATCGAACTCATTAAAAGAACACTATTGAAGATTCAGAGAATGGTCTTCTTATTAGAAAACGACATGTTGTGTAAACAATTCGAAATATTGAATTTTGAGACAAACGTTTTACTAAAACTTTTAGATAGATAACTAGGTTTGAAATTGGCGTTAGGCATGGTTTTCAATTAGAACAATGGCTTGGTTTGTTTTAAATTTCGTGCAAAGCTATACTCTAGCCGTCCCTAATTTAGCAGTGATAAACTATAGGGAAGACAGCTAGTCACCCATCGCCAACTCTTGGGCTACTCTTTTATCAACGAGTAGCGGGATTAACCGTCACATTATAACATCCCCACGGCTGAAAGGGCGAGCATGTTCGGTGTAAGGGATTCGAATCCGCGATCCTCAGATTGCGAGTCGAGAGCTCTAATCACTAGGCCATGCCAGGCCTCACAACAACAACAGCACCAGAATAAATGGACGAAAATCAACACTTCCATCATGTTTATTCGAAGATATAATGATTGTTCTATTATTGCACCCTCTCTATCGCGATTCTTTACAGTAAGTGTCTGCGACTTGTTGGAGATAAATTTCAACAATAACCAAACAGAACACAGTTCACTTGTTTTTTTAAAAAAATATTAAAACAAGTCAAACTTATGTACAAGTATTCGTTACACAATTGGTTACCACAGTTGAATCCAGAGCTTTAAGCAATTCTCTTTTACGTCAAAAGTTCACATAGGTTGGTTGGTTCAGTTACTTTAGAACCTAATTGACAAGACGAATTATTCTTCTCTTCTCTATTATTACAATACAATCTGCGATTATTACACTTTAAAAGTCGCCAATATGCACTCTTTATGGCTAAACTTACGATCATCCAGTCTATATTTATCTATTTTTTTTTGTGTGTGACTAATTTTTCGACACAAACGGTTCGTGTAATATGACGTCGATTCACAACAAATGATGCGTAATCAGTTACGTAAGGAAACTTGCCATAACTATTGCTTCTAAAAATAACTTACTTTATCATTCGCACAATATAAACTAAATAATACTCTCATATTAAACTTAAAATGAATAGTGTGTATATCTAATAACAGTGCCCATCACCAACTCTTGGGCTACCCTTGTCTAACAGAACAGTGGAATTTGGCAGCCACTTTTATATAGCGCCCACGTGGTCCAAAAGTGCAAAGAAAGCGTGTTTGTACGAGAATGGGGGGAAAGTACTTTGAAGACGATGACCGGAAATGACGTTGTCTCAACCAAATAAAATACTATTGACAAAACGATCATGTTTAACTTACAAAACCATGGTACTTTCAGTTAGTTGTTGAAAATCAAACTTTAAAGTTTTTTTTTGTTTTTTTTTCAAATGGTTATGTGATCTTTCATCTGATAACTTCAAAGTCAAGGTGTTGTCTGAGATAGTAGGTTGTGGGAGCTTTCATCTAATAACTTCAAAGTCAAGGTGTTTTCTGAGATAATGGGTTGTGGGAGCTTTCATTTAATTAATCTCAGACTCAAAGTGTTGTATAACTACAATTTGAAAGTATTAATACTTTTTCTATTAGTTTGGCCACGCAACTTGGGAAACTTGTACAATTGTAATTGAAATGGTTACTTTTGGGTTTATTAATTTTGGAATCACGTTGATGGTACTATTTTTTTAATATTCTGAAAAGAAAACACTTAAAAATAAGTATATCAGTTAAAACTGATAAAATATAATTGAAATTTAATATTGTTCTGTCTAGGTTCTGTATGTTTAATGTTTTTGAGTGTGTTTTTTTATAATTTCAAAAGTTGTTATGTCTTGCTCATCAAAGACAAGATAATTGTAATTAGTATTAGAAAAGTAAAACTGAGAAATGTTTATAGCAAATAAAAATGGTCCGTTTCATTTCCATAAAATACTTAAGCCAATTTGTATTTTTGTTTTCTCGTTTTGTTGTTAAGCACAAAGTTACACAATGGTAGTCCAGTGTGTGCGCTGCCCATTGCAGGTATCGAAACCCAATTTTTAGCATACTAGTTCTCAGACTTACACCTGAGCTCCCAACTTTTATTAGAATTGCAATCTTCGACTGTTTTGCTTATACTTTTGCATACGTTTATTGACAACATTGTGTTATCAATACATGTATTAATTATTTCATTATTATCTCATAATCTTATATTTATTTTTCCGAAACTGAGATTAGATCCTCTCCATTATCTAGATCTTTACAGAACAAACCAGTCTTATATTTTTGTTTGTTAATCAAATCTTTAGCTATTTTTCGTTTTCATTAAACTCATTTTTAAAATATGGCTTATGATTTTTCGTGTAAAACTTCTGGAAGGTTCTTTAATTTCTATTTTTCTTGTAAAGGCCCATTTTAGTTTTTTTAGGGTAATACTTTGATATTGCTTTATTCGCTGCATCGACAATACTATTACTAATCAAAATACTGTATGAAGTTAACTATTCTTCAGTACAGCAAATAAGAAATTTTGATTTTAAAGTTTCTTTTCAAGGATTTCATTATAAACATCTCCATTAACTTCTTCAATTTTACATTTAATTTTCTTGTTACTATTATCTATATCTTCAAAAAATCACAAAAACACAAACAGGAAGATAGCAACTATTTTCGTTTGATCAAATAAATCTACATTGCTATAACATTTAGGAATTGTAAAAATGAGATCAATAATATTAGTTTCACCTATAGATTTGTTTGGTGTCTTTAAAAAGTCCTAAACTGTGTATTTTTAAATGATTGAACCACTGAATGAATGATCACCTTTATTGTTATCAGTTTCAACACACAAGTTTATTGTTTGAATCACCAATTACTATTAAACTGAGATGATAATTTATTAAATATTCCAGCATTTGATAATTAGTTGATATTCTTGGTGAAATAGAAATAGTACCTTTATCTGTAATAGTTACATAAATATCAATAACTAATTATTTTATTGTTATATGAATAAATGTCAGTAATAGATTTAATGCCATCTTTAATGAGCGTAATCAGTCCTAAAGTATGTTTACTTAGACCTACACCTTTTATATAATTGTTATACCTTGCAACATAACTTTGTTTTCCAATTCATCAAAGAAATGCAACTTACATTAAAAATATAACTTAATATTCGTAAACAACTTTGGCTGTTTATTTAGTATGCTATATTGTATATTTATAGACATTATCTCTCCATTATGCACATGTTTACGTTCAGTTAAGGGACCGGTGTTGTACAGTTTTTGTTTTATTTATTTTTTACAAACACACTGTGGATCTAAAAGGATTGAAATTAATTCAAGATAGAGTCAAACACATCCTTAACGATGCCACCTACTTTTGTTTTACAATCCCTTTGTTTAATTAAAACTTCAGCCAGAACTAAGGTAAATCTATGCACACTTAACGTCAACTACAGCTTGTTCCATTTCATCCTCAGTCACTGATGAACACAGAGAGGAGGAAGTGCTTAAGCCTCTGACCTGATGCCCAGGAGTGCCCTTTTCTCGGATATAAAAGTATTGCCATGCAAAGATAGAAAACTGCCATTTTTTTCTCATGAGTCCTTGCCCTTTTAATGTTATCTGCACATTACCGACTTTAATAATGATAGTTTTGTTTGATATTGTGTTACTCTGGCACTCCAATGTTTTGTTGGTGTTTCTTTGTATTCAACTTGTTCTTTTGTGGTATATATATATAGATCATTTTTTAACGTTAGCATGGTGATTTCTTTTTCAGTTGATTCGTTTAGTGTATTTTCTTGTGATCTGATCCTTCGGATACAATTACGTGTTTAAATATAATATATCTCCCAAAGATAGCAGACCTACAGTTTTGATGGTGTGCGTGGTCTCTCAGACAGAACCTTACGTTAAAACATAATAACCACGTAGTTCTAAGGGAGATCAGATATCTCGGAGACATCTGTTTATCCAAACTGAACAAACAAACAACTTACATATCTGATGCCGATTGATATAATAACTTATTGTACGAGCTTGACTATATTAAACCGGTGGACTAACACAAGAGTGTTTGCAACCCAGTTGTTCAGCTGTAAACATTAAAATTTGATGTTATATTCCTGCATTGGACACAGAACAGCTGCTCATTGTGCACTAAATAGAAACAAGGGTGTTTTTTAAAAGTTAAACATTCATAGATGTATTAACTGTCGTCTAGGATGGATCAAAGTTGTCTTTGATGAAACCTGGTTCATACTTCCAGTCCCAATTGTATTAGAAAATCATGGTGTTGATGTTTAAACTCTTACAAACATGAGATTATTGGAAAATTATAACTATGAATGATTGGGTTTTATTAGGATTTCTATCAACAATTTCAGTAGAAGACACGAGGTAAGAAAAGTGTTCGTTTGTTTTAGCGCAAAGAAACAAAATTGGCTACCTGCACTTTATCTACCACGGGGGAGTCGAATCTCGGATTTTAGTGTTGTAAGTCCGTAAAGTTACCGCTGAACCTTTTGGAGACTTGCAAGAAAAATATACGGATTTAGGTACGTCTTATTAATTACATTTGTAAATTATAATGTAACAAAACAACAACAACGAAGAAAACTAACAGATCATTATTGAATTCAGACATTTTTTTTTGTTTGTTTGCGATATTTGAGATATCTGCACAAGCTGTCTATAATTTCGAAATTATAGGCTAGATAGAAGGCAACTAGTCAGCAGCACCCGTCGTCATCTCTTGGCCTACACTATCAGAATATTGTGATTTGACAGTTATTCTTATAACGCACCCAGGGCCCCAAAGTGCGAAGCGCAGTTTTCCGGTCACGCGACGAGAACCATGGGTCGTATGATTCATACTCCCGAACGCTAATCTTAGGACTATTCTAACCAGAAAATAATACAATATATAATTTTATAAGTATCTACAATAGAAAAACATACATATCGATAACATGACTAATCGTTGAAGATTAAAGTTTTTTTGCTGCTATTGGTTATTCTGGTAAAGACGATGTACACATGAATCATGGTGAAAATGAAAGTGTGCTATGAAAAACTTTCAACATGTGATCCTATCTAGCTGACCACTGGATCCTAGTTCCATCAATAATTTTTGAGATTAGTTTAAACACAACGTGTATTGCAAGGTATCATTATTGAGTACAGCTGCAAAATAATATTAAATAATGCAGTAAAGACGTGCAAGCGCTCGAGGTAACATTCTGAGGTTCAAAACAATCCATGTAAAGATAATGTGTAAACGTATTAACAAAAACAAGACCATATAATTATATCTACGCCAGAACATATCTATGGACCATATAATTATATATACGCCAGAACATATCTATGAATCATATAATTATGTTTACGCCAGGATATATCTATGAACCATATAATTATGTTTACGCCAGGATATATCTATAGACCATATAATTAGGTTTACGCCAGAACATATCTATGAACCATATAATTATGTTTACGCCAGGATATATGTATATGAACCATATAATTATGTTTACGCCAGGATATATTTATGAACCATATAATTATGTTTACGCGAGAACATACCTATGGACCATATAATTATGTTTACGCCAGGATATATCTATGGACCATATAATTATGTTTACGCCAGGATATATCTATGGACCATATAATTATGTTTACGCCAGGATATATTTATGAACCATATAATTATGTTCACGCCAGGATATATTTATGAACAAGATAATTATGTTTACGCCAGGGAAAAAATAAAACAGGAGAAAGATTTATTATAGAATTAAATGACATCAAGTGGAGAATCGAAAGTTCGTTTTGATTAGGCAATAGAAATTTAAACTTACCAATGGGGTCACAATGTGTAAAATGATCCACAAACTCTCTTTTTCCTAGGTAGATGGTGACCTGTGAAAACGACAGATTGTATAAACATATATTTCAAAAACACATCTTCCTACCAGATTAATAACGTGTAATGAAAATTGATGACAGATGAATAATACACTGCACAAAACAGTTGAATAATGGAAACTTATAACAGTTGTGGCAAACCAAAACAGTTATTATAAAATAATGCCAGTCACCCAGGTCGAACTGACAGGTGAATAATACACTGCACAAAACAGTTGAATAATGGAAACTTATAACAGTTGTGGCAAACCAAAACAGTTATTATAAAATAATGTCAATCACCCAGGTCGAACTGACAGGTGAATAATACACTACACAAAACAGTTAAATAACAGAAACTTATAACATTTGTGGCAAACCAAAACAGTTATTATAAAATAATGTCAATCACCCAGGTCGAACTGACAGGTGAATAATACACTACACAAAACAGTTAAATAACAGAAACTTATAACATTTGTGGCAAACCAAAACAGTTATTATAAAATAATGTCAATCACCCAGGTCCAACTGACAGGTGAATAATACACTACACAAAACAGTTAAATAACAGAAACTTATAACATTTGTGGCAAACCAA